CTTGGAATATAAAGAAAATTTGTTAATGTTCGTGGTCAAAATCCCAAAAGAATTTCAATCGGTAGAATTAAAAACTATTATTCCTATACCAAATAAGCAGGCAAAGAAATAAGAACAGAAATTAAAAATGTTTCTGAATACAAAAATGTCATTTATAAATTCGAAGAAGCTAAAACACTCAATGAACTACAAATTTCTAAACATTGCATCTACTTAACCGAAGATTTAGGAAAATTGAACGCTTTAGACGGCTTCAAATTATTTATAAAATATTTTGAGAATCAATGGATGCAAAAGGTACAATATTCCCTTTTACAGAATACTTACAAAAAGGTGTTATGATTTCATTATTACAGATCGGTCCACATAACTTTTCAGTTTTCTGCTGTCTGCAATAGAAGCTAACAATAGCGTCATAGGAAAAATCATTCCAAAGAAGGCTACTTTTCTCAAATTTGTAGTATTTTTGCAGATGCAAGAATTTGAAAAATAAGAAAATTTTAACTATTGATGAATACCAATGGTAGTGTGGGAAAAACGCGTATTAAAAAGTTCTGTGTATTGAAAGAAGATGTGATTTCGAAATTCAAGAATGATCTCTTACAAGGTGCTATAAATCCTTCTAAATTCCTTTACCAACTGGTGTTATCAAAAAATAATTTAATTGTACAAATGGAGCCTGATGAAGATCTTTTTGAAGAATTATCATATTTGGAAGAGGACATTGAAGACGAGTCGTTAAACCATATTGAAACCAACCAGAATAAAATTAATAATAATATGTGTGTGGTTTGTTTCATAAAGCAGCCAAATATCTTATTTTTTCCTTGTAAGCACTTGAAAATTTGCAGTGAATGCTGTCTTACAGTGCAAACTCACAAAATTGATCAAACCAGTAAACTAGTATGTCCATTCTGTCGTGTAGAAGTTCATGAAACCCTTCAAATATTTATCTGATAAATAAATGATTTTTTTATGGAGGGGAGCGAAAGAGCCATGAAATATAAGGCCATTATGGCTTTATTTCTAATTTTTTTCTTAAGCAAAAAGTTATATATTGGACATTTCGTAAAAGGGACAACCATAATTATTAATCCTTATCTCTCATGGCTCTCCTTTTTTGTTATTAATTACTTTATACTTACTATAATAAAAAACTTTAAAGAAATGTGTACAAATAGGTACCGAACTTAACTACTGGAAAACAACATTAAAAAAATTGTTGACGTAATTACGTATGTACATATGTGTTTTATTATATTTTTAGTAGGAAATTGGAATTCGTGTTCCATGTTTTCTAATATCACTATTACAAAATACAACTAATCCCAATGCCATGTTAAAACTATAATACCGTCTACCATGCACTGGATCTTCAAGCCATTTATAAAGGTCGATAATTTTAATCTGATGGTCCTTCCGAAACGGTTTCCATCTTAATAATAAGAACAATTGATCTGTACTTAATCCATTTGCGAATCCAAACGTTGTTACTAATAGGCGTTCTCTACTCTATCAAATTTCGTAATATCCATTCCATTAAGAAGCCTTCTGCAAGCTTGCATACGATTTTTATTTATTATTTCTCTGCTTTGATTATTCATATTATTCGACGTGTGTTTTTTATCTACGAAACGTACATTCCAGGTAATAATGGAAGAGATAGAAATTTGTGATAAATTTTAGACGCTTCTTTATTTTGCCGAATATATTGAGCGAGCCTTTTGTCCTTCATGGTTATGAATCGACGCAATGCCTGGCAATAATGGAACCAGCAACCAAATATTTTTGAATCAGGGAACCTTTTTTAAATTGCGCTTCTCAATCCTGTTTCATAATCTGTTATAAAAGTTGCTTGTGACGGAGCAATAATGCTCCTTTGTATATAACTTAATAAATGCTGATATGCTTTTAGACACTTTTTGGTCATCAGTATGAAGAAAGGGGAATACCTAATATAGAAAAAATAATAAATATATAATTATGTATACATAATATAAAGCTATATATAGTTATGAATGGAATTAATTACCGAACCAAAGTATTCACAATGTAAGATTAATAGWTGTTTAAAGCTTCCTAGARKAAGTACAGAAAAAGTACCATCAATTAAACAGTTCTTTCGGAACAAAAAAACGCAATATCCAAAGTCTTTTTCTTGGTAGCATATGTTGAAAAACTGCCATTGTTTATTTCCATTTAATTTGGAATAACCGAATTTTTAAAATTTTTTAAATTTTCGCAATATACTGCAAACTCCGCTGTATTTTATCAAAGACAATATTTTTGCTTTCGTTTTGATTTCTGCAAAGACTTTATTAAGTAATTACTTAAAAAATAATAATTATCATGTGGGTGGTACTTATTCCATGCTAGTATTCACAAAAAAATTGCGAATACTTCCATCGCAATTGTTTTCAGTTGGCTTTTCATTAAGACGTGCCCATTTTGTCTTTACATTATTTAAAAATTTTAGTTCTTTGTACAGAGCCTCTTGATTATCGTGATTGTGCGCTTTACAATTTTTTGCTTTAATGCACTCGCTGCCAAATAACATTATTCGTGATGGACAATCCTTTACATAACAAACATAAAATTGTTTTCTAATTTAGTGCACTTTTTAATACATAATTGTTTCTAAAAAAATATATAAAAGAAGCTTGCTTTTATTGCTCTTCCCTGCAATTATTTCGTATGTCACACTCATGTTCACTATTGAAATTCACAAACTTAACTAATCAACATAATGATAAGATCTTGTAAACTTGTACACTTAACAATAAATTTGAAACAATACCATTCATTTCGTAAAGAGCAAGAAATAACGGAACTTTTCGAAAGCATATTCTACAATACAATAAATTTTTTTTAAAAAGCAATAAAAAGAACATTATGAAATTCAATGAGCAACAACGTGAAGAGCAACAAATAACGGCAAAAATTATTAAGCATTCACTTAAAATGCAAAACTATGAAAATGAAATAAGTCCCACTTAAAACAAAAACGCTTAACGAAATAAGTCCCACCAATTGACCAAAAGTGGGACTTATTTCGTGGGAGTTATTTCATAGACCCCAAAATAGTATACTCATAATCATTATCTTAACAATTAAAGTCTTGCGATATTTTTTATTTTTTTTTTTTTTGATGACTCATGCCCAGCTCTTGACCGATGCTACGGCTGCTACTATGCCGGTCTCTTTTGACCAATTTAGCGATTTTATCGCAATTTTCGACGACAGGCCTTCCGGAGCGTGGCGCATCTTCGGCTACCTCTACACCAGAACGAAAACGTTGAAACAATCGTTGTGCGGTGGAAATGGAAACTGTATGTTGTGTAACTGCACAAATTTTATTGGCGGCTTGAGATGCATTTTTGCCTTTATAGTAGTAGTATTGTAAAATAGGCCGTATTTTCTCTTTATTTTGCTTCATGTTTCCGACACTATAACTCACGAACGACTTAAAAGAAACGACAATAAATCAAACAGGTGTTAGCGCGTGAAATGAGCTTTCCAAAAAGGTATAGCATGACCCGATGCGACGAATAAAACTGGAACTACGCGCTCTCAGCGCCAACTAGCGAAAATACCGCAAGACTTTTTTGACAACCTAATATCTACAATCTGGAAAAGTTAAGATTCATAGCAACAGAGGTGAAATTTTTAGGATATTTAGTTTCCCACAAAGTTATAAAGACTAATCAAAAAAAAATTGAAATAATAAAAATATCCACTTCCAAAGACATTACAACTTAAAGTATTTTTTAGAATAACGGGGAAATATAGAAAATGTTTGGAAAACTATGGAAAAATAGCTAAGCCACTAGTACACTTAGAAGGAGAAACATCGCAACATATGTCTAAAAACAGTTTTTAATCTTAATTATTAAGGAATAATTGATTGTCAAATTAAAAAAAAATCATTACAAGAACAAATTGAAAAAGAACTGTAGGTGCGGTTTTATCCCAATATCAGCAAATATCGTTTCTGGCGCATTATCAAGATAAGTATGAAATAATTTGACTAGTTCAGATAAGTCGAAGGACTCAAGTGATTGCCTAAGAGAATCTCGACATTCTGCAGAAAGTAGCAATGAATATCCAATTCACGAAACAAAAAAGTCTTTGGACCATTTTAAGCAGCGCATGCTAATTGATAAGGGAGCAAACATAACTGTTTTAGAAACAATTTCTTACTTTAAAAATAAAAGATGTTTAATCGTATATCACATACCAGAAATATAGTTATTATTTAAAAAAGTATTTAAATCCAAAAGCAGTTAGAGGAATATTCTGGACACCAGAAGCAATAAAAACCGTTTTAAGAGAAGCCTCAAAAAACGTCAAAAAAAGTTTCAAAAAGATCATAAAGGAGAAAGCATATATTAAGAAGATATAAATTTAATCCTAAATAAAAAAAAAAACAAATAGTAACAAAAAATTTAGGAAATCAAGCTAAAATATATGTAAATACATAATTCATAAAGATAACATTAAAATTTAAATATAATAATTTATGTTAAAAATTCATTGCAAGCGATTATAGCGCACCAGTCGCTTCTTCTTTTCGCAACGTGGCGCCAACTGGAAATTTCAAGCGAAGCCAGCTTCTTCTCCACCTGGTCCCTCCAACGGAGTGGAGGTCTTCCTCTCCCTCTGCTTCCGCCGGCGAATTTTGCGTCGAATACTTTCACAGTACATGACCTAGCCAGCGTAGCCGCTGCCTCTTGATTCGCTGAACTATACCAGCGTGAGCTGCTTGAGCCATATGTAAAAGAATCGTTTCTGGCCACTTCCAAGTGARTGGCAATCAGAGAACTTTCCTTACTTGCGTGAACTTCTACACATGACTCCCTCCTCCCAGAATGTATAGCAATTGTCAAAAACTACTACTACTATTATGCAATAACAATCCTTTAAGTATATGGTATAGTAAAAGACAAATGGGCTGATTTGACAAACTCCACTATTTCGTCCACTATTTCTAGATAAATAAATAAAATATATTTTATTTGTCCATCACGTTTACTTTTCAGGGAAAATCAAAGTTTATCCTTGTACAACATTACATACATAGATTGGAAATGCATTTTTACTGATGCTTCCAAGGCCGACTTTTACACGTCATTTGTTATACTGATAACGTTGGAAATACATAAAAATCTGAACTCCTGCCCAATTACTACTCAATATGCACCGCGGAGACAACAGCCGTCTATAGTATAAAAACGTTAATATGTACAGATAGCAAGTCATCAATATCAGCTCTACTAAATGCATCCAACAAATCTTAACTCATTGCGCAAATTAGAAACAAACTAATAAGTAACACAATCATAAAAATTATTTGGATCCTTGGACACGCTGATATTGCCGGAAATGAATGGGCCACAACCATACCTTAACCATAATCAATATACTAGATGAATGCCCATACTTCAATTTGTATGAACCAGTATCTTTCAAAATAATAAAGTTCTTGATTTATTAAAAATAACATTTATTGTAACATCACTAATATTTCCGAATGCTTATCACGCCCAAAGTAAAAAGTAAATTTATTTATAATATATAATTTTTATTCCATAAAATCATATTGCGTGTAAATAGCTCTTATATGGTTGGTTCCATTTTTATTATTTGTGAAAAAATAATGGTATTATTATTTTAAATATAATAAAGATCGGCTTTGTTATGGCACTTTATACGTTATCGCTTAATGGCGTGGTCCGATTACGCCCATTTGCAATACCAACCGTCTTACGATGTCGACATGTGTGTCAAGTTTCATTAAGATATTTCGATTTTTAGTGGAGTTACAGTTCAAAATCGAAAATTTATAATTGAAGAAGAAATACCTAATAAAATGCGAAAAAAAATTTTATTGAATATTTTGTGTAGAGTAACACATGTTTGACAGATGTAGTGTTTATTGTACAATAATAAAAGAATTAATAAATATTGTAATATAATAAAAGAATTAATAAATATTGTAAAAGGTGATGCTATAATAGTATCCGGGAACATAAAATTAATAATCATATAATAGAAGGTGTATATTTGATAACTTTTGAACATACATTTGTGCAGATATTCCTTCATCTCATTCAGCAAAATAGAACTTGTTTTTTTTTAGCTAAACGAAAAAAACTTTTAAATCTGAAAGATTAAACAACTCTACAAAAATAACTATTTGCCTTGAATATCTTAGCAAATTGGTGTCCAGATTTCGAATATATTCATGAAGGTATTGAATTTGCTCCTATTTCTATTATATTTGAATATCTTATGTTTTGAACAATTATCGGCTTTTTAGCAAAAATATGTATTTGTCTTGTCAAAGTTTGAGTTCTGTGCACGCAAACAGAGCTGATCCCCACTCTCAGACTCTTGAAAAAAGAATATTCTGACGGAGGCCCGTCGAAGGAAAGTCAGCATTATTATTGAATGCGAACTCGCCAAGCTCGGATACCTACTCAAGAAGTGAGTAACTTTTTAATTGTAGTGAAGATATATAGTATCAAAGGAAATAGCTCTCTTGATATATGATTGGAGGGTTCTTAATTAACGAATTCTCTGATCACTGGTTTATTAGTTTTAACCTGGACAGAATACATCCGATCACAGAATCATATAAAAACTTTAGAAACACAGAATGGGATCTTTACGGCAAGAAGCTCCCATCAGCTGTTCCTGTTGCGCTAAGTCTAAGATCGAGGATATCTTCAGTTATGTATGTAGGTCTACCCTTGAAAATACGAGTCCTCTGAATGCTCAGAAAAGAAAAGGAAACCTCCTTGAGAATTATCGGAAATCATAAGTTCAAGCACTCCTATCTACGGAGGAAGTACTCATTGAAGAGCTTCAAGACGGCTATAAAGCCCTTACTCTTTCTAGAAGAGTGTCGTCCCCGCTTAAGATTAGCTGTGGCTACAGCTCTTCATATACAGGGGGACTTCAAAAACGTACGATCCGAGGCGGTTATTGGAACTCTAAATAAGCTTAGGATCGAAGGTAATCTCAAGCATATCATCTATAGTCTGCTTTGTGACAGAATGATTCCGACGGAGTGAGGAAGAACGTGTGCACATAAGAAAATAAATAAGGGAACCCAGCAAGAAGGCAACCAGATGGAATTTAAGAGTGTGTTATAGGGAAAGAAATCTTGGTTATAATTCGATGTCGCTCATTTTCATACGGCTACATTGGGATATTGCTATGACACCATTTTTTTTAAATTGATAAAATTAAATTAAGAAGTAAGGAAGAGCTAAATTACTTTTCATACTCTTGCAGGGAAAAAACACTCTCTCTCAACTTTATTAAGTTAACTCACATCTTGGGTGATATATGCTTTATATAGTCACCCGGAAATTCGAGATCTTTATAATAGGAAGTATTGTCTGCATTTAACCCTTTTGTGGTGCTATCCGAAAAGGATTCTCTCTGAATTTCAATTACAAAATCAACTAAACATAGATTCTGGCTTTCGCATTTTCGGTACCTTGGGGCTTGAACAGTTTTTGTAAGATTTAGTCAATTTTTGGATATAAGATTGTTCGTTGCAAAGTTGTATCCTTTTATATTAATTGCTTCTTGATTTGTCCGCTAGAAAGGAAAGAATCAGATGAAATTTAAAATCGAGTTATATGGGAAGTAGTAATGAGTGGAGTTATCAGATTTCTTCCATTTTCACTATCGGTAGGAAATCTAATCATATTTGTGTTGAGTAAATTTGGTTCTTGTAGCTTAAACGGTTTAAGAGATATATGTACATATACATAAATCCTATCATAGGACGGGAACATGTCCACTCTTTCAAAACTTTTTGCTCACAGGTGCCCCTTTCTTCTCTGATCAACTGTGCCAAATTACAGTCTTTTGTTGGCATGACAGTGGTCCGATTACTCCCATCTACAAAGACAGTCACCCCCATTTCAACTTGTCTCGTCATCCTGATCATTTATATATATGTATATAAAGAAATCTAGTATATTTATTTCGCTCAGTTTTAGGTGATTCGTAAAACCGTTAGGTAATCAAAACTATTGTAGTCTGTAGCAACATGTTGCAAGAGTATAAAAACTGATTGAGTATGTCGAGCAATCACAAAAATATATATTAAGAAACCACTGTGATTTTAGACCAAACATGTACATATTTCATTGCCGATAGAATTAATTATAACGAAACCAGAGTATCTATTTCGAATAGTTGTATACAACAATGCACGAATATCAAAATAATATTTAGCATTAGAAAAAAACATTCATACACTAGAAGCAGACAGTAACAATTCTGTGTTGAATTGTTTCAAAATTTTTAAATGTTTTTTCAATAAGTAACTATTAACTATACATATATTTTTTCTGAGTCTATCACGTCGCATTGTAAATTTCCACCGAAATTACCTTTATATGTAGTTGACTAAAATCCGTCTCTTTATTCGAAAATTTCAAGTTCATATAGTATTATTCTACCAAAAAAGTCTGTACTTGAAGGAAATAAAAACTTAATTTTTGCCGCTTCTTTGTTCTTTATAGGCCGATTTAATATAAATGTTTGAATGGAATTTATATCTTCTGGATAGAATGCCTCCTCCAAAATTTGTTTACCGTCTTCCGTTTCCACGTGGATTAGCAGCGTTTTCGCTACGAAACCTCCCTGAAACTGGAATGAAAATTTGCTGATCGCCTGTGGTTCCTCAAAACGTATTATAATCCATTGGGGAGTGCCCTAAAATTAAAATAAAGTAATTAATATGCAAATTAAATGGCGAAATGATTTTATACAGTTATGAACCGAAAGCAATTAATGGAAATAATATATTTCATCTTCATTGCAAATGTGAAAAAACCTTAAATTGAAGTTAACAAAAACAAGTAAGGAAGAGGGTGCTCGGGTGCAATCAAATATACCTTAAGCTGCAAAACTTTCTTAAATTTTTTTAGGTCTTTTCGGTTCGTTCGGGATTTTCTTCAATTTTGTTTTACATTAAGTTTTAAGAAAGCAGAAATAAACTTAATTATACTATCTAATCTATATTATATAATCTAACCTGGAGGATGGAGTCATGTGTAGAAGTTCACGAAAGTGAGGAAAGTTCTATGATCGCCATTCACTTGGGAGTGGCCAGAGACGATTCTTTTACATATGACTCAAGCAGCTCACGACTTCCGGTTTGACCAAGTATCCTCTGGGTAGCCTAAGAACATCGGTATGGGAGCCGCCACGTAAACAATCATACCAACGAAAAGGAACAACAAGCTTCGGATGAGTGACCCCTCTTTTGATGACGACCTTGGCAAACGTTATAAGGACTACGAATTGAGGGCATGCACCTGGAATGTCCGGTCCCTTAATTGGGAAGGTGCCGCTGCCCAGAAGAGTCCGAACGTGTCGCATGGCGCAGGGAAATGAATGTAAGTGATTTCGGTAGCAAATGACGTGACAAATAACTTTTGTTTTATACATTTTGCCATGAGATGCGTATTTCAGGCGCTAGGTAGACAATTTTATGATTTTAGCTGAAAAGGGGCTGCCTTTATGCCGCGATGTCTGAATTTGGTATCAATGCAAAACTAACACGGCTGCGTAAACTGACGTTGAGCAACACCAAAAGCTCCGTCAGAATCGGGAAGGACCTCTCCGTGCCGTTCGATACCACACGAGGTTTCAGACAAGGCGACTCCCTATCGTGCGACTTCTTCAACCTGCTGCTGGAGAAAATAGTTCGAGCTGCAGAACTTAATCGAGCAGGTACAATCTTTTATAAGAGTGTACAGCTGCTGGCGTATGCCGATGATATTGATATC